GAAGTACATTTGATTCACGTGTTGATCAAAGTGTTAGACCAATTGGTATTATAAACACTGAGTAATTTTTATTATTAATCAAAATAGAGAATATTTATTGCAATCCAAGATTTTTTTCTGAAAAATGCCTTGCACTGAAAATTATGTAATTTTTATCTATTCCCGTTTTCTTTTCTTAAAATTTAACTTTTATTTCTTGAATGACATAAAAATATGCATGCTGCTTTTATCTTATTATGTTTACATACTTCTTTGTACATTATTATTGTCGAGTAATGCTTTTTTGCCAAGTAAACTCTCAGAACAATATTTTTAAGGTTAATTTGAAAATTGATCATAATTTTGCATTAATGTTTCAATGATTGGTTGTTATATTGTTTATGATAAATTTCCTCACGGTACACATTTAGAGATCAAGTAACTATATTTTAGATTTATTTGGCCCAGAATCTTAGAGCACACAAAATATCGTTCGAAGCTTTTTTATGATGATAGTAATTTTGCTTACCACCGAAGAAACAAGGATTCAGCAGATGCCATTAGGCACCTCGATCGTAAAAAGAATTTAGTCAAAGTGATTCGTTTTCTCAATAACTTACTGTTGTAGATCATTCATTCATTTGATAAAATTGATGACAAATATTTGGTAAATTTCAATTTTTTGCTACGTTTTTTATTATGTTGTTTTTATTGCAATTAAGCGTAATGGATTTTGCAGAATTTAAGACCTTAAATACTTTAATTCATTCAATTTATCTAATCTAGAGTTTTTTTTTTCACATTATAAAAATTATAAAACAAAATTTCTCAATAATCTTAATCCTGTGCTTTAAAATTAAGTCATCCAACTAAATATTAACTTATAATCAAAGTGATTAATGACCTTCAATACAGTTAGACCTTATATTATTTCTAGAATACAATAAAGAATTGTATTACATTATTTTCCTTCAGTCATTTACATCACGGTTTCAGTTTTTTAATTCTTTATTATAAATGTCTAATTGTATTTGTATCACTATTAAAAATAAATCATAATTTGTGTCTCACTAAAATAAGTTTATAATTCCTAAATTTGACATTTACTAATATTTATAGATGAAAAATTTTTGATTGTTAGTAGCAAAACTTTTCTTAACAATCAAAATTAGTGGAAGTCATGTTCTTACCAAATTCTTAATTTACAATCAAATAAGAATAATAATGGTGTTAATAAAAAGTTGTTGAACAAAATGTTGTTTTGACAGCAAATCTAAGAAGTGCTGATACATTATAATGCTTCTCATCATTTTCTGCTAAGACATTGAATACTAAAACTATACTTATGCTCATATTTTATGAATGCACATTTTTAAAGATATTATTTCCACAAAGAATCATTTAAAATTGAAAGACGAGAGCAAATTGATTTAGGTTTGCACTATTTGAAATAAAAGTAAAAATTAATTTTTTCTAATTCATATTCAGAATTCAGAAGTCACACAAAAGTAAGGTGCTTTAATTACTTTAGAATCATACTTGCTAAAATTAATTATAGCAAAATAGATGCAAATATTTAATGTAAGAGTGAATTCAAAAAAAAAGACTGTGCTAATCCCAAAAATTGAATTTATGAAAAGTAATCTCCCACTAATTATAACCAATGCGTAGAAAAATTTCATGAAGTGTTTCTATATATTTAGTGAAAAAATTTTAATTGGTAAGTGTGATAAGTAGTGAATTTTTAGCTTTATTTCGTTGATAAAGAATGAAAAATAAATTAGGTTACGTAGTATAGAAGAGAACAATATTTCCGTATTCATCATACTAAATTATAATCAACTAAAAAATAATTAATCATAAAAAAATCGAAAAATATGCAGATTAGTTTTGCAACTTTCTTAGCAAGTCTGTTCATTAAGAAAGTTGAAATTATTGAAATTTAATTATTCACTAGTTTAAAAGCTTTTCAACCTTTCAAAACTTTTGTTGTCGGTGAGATTTTAATCGGTTAGCAAACTTTAATTAAGCCTGATTGACTTTCTTATTAAATTTCTGTTGCAGTAAAATGACAATAAAATTGTAGTGAGTAAAAAATTTAGTGATAGAGCAAATTTTGTATACAGCAATGTAAAATAATTTCTATTATATCACTAAATTTTGTCACTCTACATGATGCTTAATATCATTTATTTGATAATAGGATGATTCTGATTTCTATTATGATAGAATGATCTATCTAAAGTAATTTTAAATTCAACTCTCTTTATTTCATTTTTTAACATTGAGTGTTATTTTTAATGACTAAAGGCATAAATTTTAAAACTTTACATGCAATTATTGTTTATTTTTTAAATTTTACATGCAATTATTGTTTATAAAAAATTATTGTTTATTTTTTAAATTACATGCAATTATTGTTTATTAAGAAAAGAAGAAATTTAGGTTAGATTACAAAAATTGTGATAAATAGTGCTCATAATACTCGAAAATACAAATACATATGGAAGAAAAATGCAACAAAGTTTAAAAATTAAGTTTATTTTAGTACAGCTTAATAGCAAAGTTTGATGATCGCCAAAAATTCGGTACGGTAAAACAAGAAAATGTCAAGAGGTAATAGATCTGAATTCAAATACATTTCAAATTTATGCATTTCTCTACGTTCACTTTCATTTCTACTACAAATATTTCACTAAAAATAATTATGCAGTTAGATTCCAAAATTTCATTTTGAATAAATTAAATTTCAATTGCTTACGCCAAAGAAAATTATCCAGAAATAAAGTTTAATTGCCGTAAAAGTAATGAAGTTTTACTTTTTTCGGTTTATAGGCAAGCCGAAGTAATTGCCAGATATCATCTATTTGCCCACTGCATCATGATTATTTATACCCAGCGGAATTGCATACAAAATATTGTGTTCAATAAACGTTTAAAATATTTACTGCAAGTTAACAAATTAAAGCAACTAAGAATGTGTACCGCTGTTTTGACATTCAAAACTTATTTAAAATTATCCAATTCAATGACAACAAAGAAATAAAGCAAATGTTTATCAATTATTTTGAAACGTTCATACGCCTACGACAAGTTAATTGTTCTTGACTTCGTTTCTTGTATCCATCACGCATATAGCTGACGACGAATGAGAAAAATTTTTTGCAAATATCAGTAAGACCTTTTTGTTCTTTCTCTGGATGTGCATCTATCATAATCTGTATCAAATTTCCCTGTAAACATAATACTACTAATGATAAATCTGATATAGCTTTGAAATTTAATTAGTTAATTTTTGTTCATCGTAATGTAACTAAAACAAAAGTTAAAACAAAGAATTCCTGCAATGTATTACATTCTAGATTCCATTAGTAATTAAGTTGAAACAAATTTATGACCAAATATATACAATGTATAAATGACAAAATTCTGATAAATTATAGCAAATGATCATACCAAAAAAATATCCCAAAAGTTAGTGTGGAAGTTTTTAATAAGTACGTGTCTAGCACCAAGTTTTTGACATGCATCAATTACCTGAAAAAATATTTGCAAAAAATAAATAGACACAATGAGGAACATATCAATTTTTATTTCTTTCATTTTATGTAATGTGATATAAGATAATATAATAATATATGCTCAAAAATGGAAAAGCTTTTGTAGCAAAGGATGATATTATAACGCTTATTGATAGCTTATTTATAGCTATTCTATGTTGATAAATAATATAAAAGCTGTAAATCCTTAAAATAAAAAAAAAGTTTCTCATAACACTGTATGACTTAATTTTAAACTTTGATGAAGTGTTGTAAAAAGATTTTGAAAGTAAAATTTTGATAAGTGAAAATTTTGAATTTTTTGAAAAAAAGTTGCGCATTTTGTTATCTTAAATCTTTGCAAGCTTTTGATCATATTAAAATCAATTACTGATAAATTGTAGCTTCAGCAGCACCTTTTAAATTCAAATAACTTGGAAACAAAATTGTTTTTTTAGCAGTTTGTTACCATGCTCAGAGAATATCAGGAAGACCAAAAAAAGTGTTTGGAAATGAAACAAATCATACCATTTCTATGCAATAAAAAATAAACTTGAAATACTTTAATCATCTTATTTGTATAATTAGAATAATTCTGCAAAGAAAAGTCAAAAAGGAAGCCTCATTGCAGTAAACGAATTAGTGCAAGCTTTTGGAATTAAATATGATATTAGTGCTTTATTGCATTATCAAATCACAAATAGCTAATTAACTCTAATAAAATAAAATTTGACAAAGTGTTCTTTTTGTGCACTGATGAACTGCTTTATATGATTAAAATCTTCCATGCCTTATACTGAGAGTACTAAATTTTTCAATAATAACCCAGTAAAAGCTTTTAAATTTCAAAGTAATACTATATTATTTGATTACATTTTTGTACTGTCAAAGCTTTCGAGATTGAACATTGTGTAGAAATTTCAGCTTCAACGGTTAAAGTTTGAATCTAAGCATGCAAAATTTCAAAGGCCTATAATTTTGATTTATTTACATCTGTCTATTTGTGCGTCTATGCTCATACAGTAACATACATTTATTATAATAAAAGCAAAAATGCAGATTAGATTCATCTTTCAAGCAGTTACAGAGGGACATTAGTATACTTTAACAAAAATAAACAAAAATCTATTTAAATCAAATCATATCAAAATAAAAGAGGTAAAGTGATTAGTAAATTTGTACTAAGCGTGAAATGTCTAATTTGAATGTTTAGAAAGTTTGAAACAAGTAAATGTTTCAGAATTATGGCAATAACTGATTTATTTTATACATATGCTATGCAAAAAGTAACTGCATATTTTTCAATTTACACTCAATTTACGAATTATGATAAATAGTGATGTAGTAAGTTTTTTAATTTTAATGCATGCAATAATCATATAAAAAATTCCTGGCAATTACTTACTTTTGTTTGATCACAGTGAAATTCAAGGATAAGTTTATCCACAAAATTTTCAATATATGGCCACAACGAAAGGAATCTTTCATTGCTTTCTGGGTCTTCATCTTCTCGTAGTAATGTTGCTTTCTTCAAAATGAAAATATTTGACTACTAAATTCGTTTAATATCATTAATTTTTAATTTACTTCGATATGAAGTTCATATTTAGAGTTGCTCAATATATAACTGTCATTTTATGGTTGAAACGTTAAATTATCAAAACTAAATACTTTGTTAACTCTTACAACTTTTATTTCTGTATTTAAAGTTTTTAAAAAATTGAAAAACAGACTTTTATATTAATACTCATTTGTGCTGATCTTACCCACGCTTTACAAAACACATTTGGATTGTTTTCTTTTAGTCTGAAAAATTTCATTGGTGAAGGTCATGCTGCAGTGAAATTAGAAGCAAATATTTTTAAAAAAAAGACCTCAAATTAAAATTCAAATTGTATAATAGGGAATGGGATTTTAAAAAATCTAAAATAATCTTCAATTTTTTAAGTTCGTTTAAGTAATCGACGTTTAATTTTTATGGTAGCTGTTATTAGTATAGTTCATCTCAGAAGAGTCATTTGTAAACTTATCTTATTAGCATACTTTAACAAAAGTAAACAAAAATCTATTCAAATCAATTCATTCGAATCATTTTTTAGCACTAAAATTGGAGATTATAAAAGTTTTCTATGCAAAGCTTGCAAATACTTGAACAGTTACGTTAACCAATTTTTAATTAACTGCTTTTTCTCATCTTCTGTCAGTGCTGCCACATCAAATGTATCACTGGTAGAGAAAAGTGATGCAATACCCTTCCGAATGTTATGAAAAATCTTATTATCACACATTTTTTCTTTTAATTCTTCCCAGCAATACGTTCCTGAAAATATTCTGCAAACTCAAAAATGAATTATCAACTTCGAACAATTAACAGTTTAGCACTTTGGATTCTTGTATTTGACTTTAAATGAATTCTACAGAAATGGTGCAGTTGCAGAAGAGAACCAAACTTGAATTAATGAAAAAACAAAAGCAAAAAAAAACAGATTATTGTTTTACGTATTTTAAAGATAATACTTTTTAAATAACTCCTTCACTTACAAGTTCTTTGAATTACTTATATTCAATAACCAATATACATTCACTTGGAACAATCAAATTCATATTACATAAATTTTATACTTTTTGTGGGAACTGACTTATACTCGCATCCTTTGTACATAATCAGTTTTTTGTAAAATAGACTTGTTTCTACATGCGAAAATTGATGTTCAGTAAATATATTTGTAATAGGTCAGCCACAAATTTCGAGAAAAACAGCATTGACAAAGACAGCTTGTTTGAAATTAGCAAGAAACTGCACTGTTAGAATTTAAATTTTACTAAACAAAACATGAAGACAGAGCTTAATCTGTACACCCTAGAGTACAATTTTTTGCTCAGCTACGTTTATTGAAAGTACAATTATAGCTCTATTAATTTGATCAGATAGAAAATCAGAAGCCATAAATCATATTAATTTGTAAAGACTGCTTAAGCACATCAAAGATTATTTGGATAAATCATTCACTAAGATTTTTGTGATAAACAATTAAGTTACTGATCAAAAGATATTTGCAGAAAAATAAATAAATTGTGCTTCTGCTAACACTTTCACTAATATATTCTACTTATTTTCACTGCAAATATAGATAGACTAATACTAACATGAACCATTTTAATTTATTAGTCCTCTCTAGTAAGGACATGGTGCAGTTATGGCGACGTTTTGCAACTTATTTTTTTGAAAAGAATTCATGCGAGTTCGAATAATACCATCATGGAAATGAAAAGGGAAATTAGCTCAAAGTGTAAAAAGTGGATGGCTAAAATAACGCCTCTTTCCAGTTAAAATAACTTTATCTTTGTGTCACGTCCAATCATTTTATAGGCAACGTTTAAAAACAATTTTGAGATGCCTTTAAGCATAGTATTAAGCTCAGAAGGTTTACTAATAGCTTTTTGAATTTGCTAGGATGACAATAATCATTATTATTGAAGTGGCAAGACCAATTATTAGTCTCCAGGAAGAATTTACAAATTAAACTACTTCACACTTTTGTTTTTCTTCTATAATTAAATCAGAGCATTGTTTGTTTGTTTTTTCATAAGCTTATATCCAGAGATAAAATTTTGATACTGCACCACTCATAATGACTGAAGATATTCAGAAACCAACATTTTTTTGCAACAATTTGTAATAAAAGCTTTATTACGCTTCATGCATGAAAATAATTCACAAATGCTGTGATAAATAGATTCCTATTTACTCTAAAAATGCTCTTAAACAAATTACATTCATATATCTTCACTGATTTACTATAGCCAACAAATTTGGATTACTTCCATTTGATGCTTTTGTTGTTTTAAATTAACAATAAAATTGCTCTTTTTTTGTTCTTGCAGATACTTGCGCTTAAGTAAATGAATAAGCATTTAAACTCATTCAATTAACGACTTTTATTTACAATCCTCCGACATTGCCAGATAGGTTTGAGTTGAACTTTACAAATATGAGTAATGAAAAACCAAATTATTGACCAAGAAACTGCTATTAGCTGTCATTCGAACGTTTTTGATCAGCACAAAATTATCACGCATAGTTTTCCAGTTGAACGCTTTTTTCTATTTTGCAGTCAAATGAATATTCACTTCACTTCGTGCTGTGAAGAGCATTACAAGTTTCATATGACATGAACATTATATAATATGATGTCCCTTGATTAAGTAGCAGCTACAATCTCATGTATACAGATCTTTTTTGTTTAAATTTTTTAAATCTAAAAGTTTTTTGTAACTATCCTCAGAGCAAGTTAGTATATCAGTAAACAAAGAAATCATCTCAAATTAAATCTTACAACTAATATAAATAATACAGTTTATTTTAATGAAAAAGTTTAGAAAATAGACTTGTCGGCAACAGTTATTTCACTCATAAAAAGTGAAGTTTAACTTAGAGTAAACCTGCATAATTTTCAAAGCAAAATGATGCAATAGATCCAGCAACATATTTATTTACGAAAACAAATATTTGCAAAATTTACGCTTTTGTGCACTATAATACAATCAGGAATAAAGTCTTCTTTCTGTAACACCAAAAATACATGCTTTGATTTAATGAGAAACCATAAAGAAAGTCGAAGACGAGCTATGTCAACCTATTAAAAATTCATTCCAACATGACTTAAGGTACAGTTACCTTCTATAAACTGTAGTTCCTCCCAAGAAACTTTTTTGGGTGTAAGATGGTGGAATGGCTAAAAAACTACACAGTACCAAATACTCATAAAAATTATTTTGGATTCAACGTTGAGCTTTTTTTTCATTAGCCATCACTAAGGAAATCTTCGTTAATTTCTTCCGCTTAGATATATGCTTAAATTCAACAGATAATCTCGACTTAAGTAAAAAGTAATAAAACTATAAATAAATAAATGGATAGTTTTTCAATAAATAAAAAAAAATTAATTTAATGCTTAATAAATTCTATTTGTAGAAGGGGGAAGAGTCGACACAATAGCTGAGAGGTAAAATGCCAGCGCTGGCAACATCCTTCCTGCCTCTGGTTTACTGTCAAAGTTCGATGATGACTGCATGAACCACCAAGATCGCTGAATAGCCGTGATTAAATCATATCATGTCGTGCATCACCATCTGAGGACTTTTGTTGCTTAATATTGCAGGAAATTTCCTTACACTCAAAAGAATTTACGGTCTGCTATTGTATAGAATATACAAAATTTGCTTCTCGGTAACTTCATCATCAATGGCTGAATTGTTCCTTACACCTTTACTTTTCATTTTTATCTACGATATATTTTTAAATATTGGCAAAGATTAAACACTTCGTGATTTGATGATATAATCTATGACTCACTCACAAGTTAATTAGTTTTTATGGGAAAATAATTGCTCAACGAGAGACACAGCGAGCGTTGTCATCCCATTCAAATAGAGGATGTAACGAAATGAGCGCAATGAATTCAGAAGAGAAGAAAGATAAGTTTGTAGAATTGTAATCGCATGTACCTTTCTTCTCTCTTTTCTTCATTCAGTTACAACTATCAACTCACCATCACCATTACCAACATCATCATCATCATCATCATCACTATTACCATCATCATCATTATCATCTTATACATCATTGCTGTCATTGTATAATGTTGATCTTTGAGAATTGTCATTCTTTCTTCCACCACACTGCAGTCTTCTTTTTTTCACTTCTTATGTGCTGTTGTTTTGCTGCTTAATTTCTGTACAAATTTCCTTGCACAAACGAATGAATGCATATAAAACTTCTCTTTCTGTACTAAGCAGCTGATTTTCTTGTAGTGCAGTGCTTTCTCTCCTCTACCTTTCATGTTTCATCTTGCATTCTATAAAGTTTGATTTCTGCCTTAGCATCATTTGTTCATTACTTTTCTTTTCCATATTTGATCCAATTAAGTCAAAGATTGAAAGGATGAATGAGTAATTTGATGAGATCAAAGACTGAAAGTTTAATGAAACTTCTGTACTCTTCTATTTGAACTGCTTCACTTCAAACTGAACGTTGGCTACAATTGTGTTCACCTGTCTTAATTGCATTCATCCAATATTGTCTTCGTTAAACTAAATTAATATTAGATTTTCAATATGTACATAATTTCAGAATTTGACGAAGTTTCATTCTAATATAGTGGCTTATAGCTTTAAGTCTTCCGGCTCCAGCTTGAGCACCCCGACGTAATAATTTATTAAACTTATGGCGTGCTCATTCATTGCCTTGATTAAGTTCTTGTCATTTAGTGTAGTTTTGGTTAACCACTCAATTATCACTAAAATCTCTGCACGGACTTTATCGTAGCTTTCACGGTGGACCATCTAACAACGCAGTGCCAAAATATGTTATATCAGTCCTGTCTTCCACTATTCCAAGGTATTTATACCCTTGAGTTTCTTCTAATAGCGCCGGTTTATCAGTGCATACCTCGGTGTTAGTGGCTGACTTTGCTGGATTTACTTCTAGTCCTACCACATCAAAAAACTTTTCAACTCCTTTGGTCATAGATTTCATGATACCCTATAAATCTCGAGATCATCCACAAACAACAGATGATTCGTTATATACATTCCTTGATTAGTTAGAACCCCACCTTTGGGCACCTCATATTGAGCCGACGACTCAACGGATCCATGCATAGGACGAATAACATATGTACCAGAAGTGCAGCGATTCTGAAGCAGGAGAAAGCTAATAGCACGTTCTTGGCAATTATTGTGCCCTATCTAAAGACTAA